TCTATTAGAAGCACATCTCCAATAGAGGTGTATGTACTGTATTTGCTCTATTAGAAGTACATCTCCAATAGAGGTGTATGTACTGTATTTGCTCTATTAAAAGCACATCTCCAACCAATAGAGGTGTGTGCTGTATTTGCTCTATTAGAAGTACATCTCCAATAGAGAGGTGTATGTACTGTATTTGCTCTATTAAAAGCACATCTCCAACCAATAGAGGTGTATGTACTGTATTTGCTCTATTAGAAGCACATTTCCAACCAATAGAGGTGTGTGTGCTGTATTTGCTCTATTAGAAGCACATCTCCACTAGAGGTGTATGTACTGTATTTGCTGTATTAGAAGAACATCTCCAATAGAGGTGTATGTACTGTATTTGCTGTATTAGAAGAACATCTCCAATAGAGGTGTATGTACTGTATTTGCTCTATTAGAAGCACATCTCCAACCAATAGAGGTGTGTGTGCTGTATTTGCTCTATTAGAAGCACATCTCCACTAGAGGTGTATGTACTGTATTTGCTCTATTAGAAGCACAAATATGGTGTTACATTTAATAAAATTGAATGTTGAATACTGCTTTGTGGAATAGTGTGAATGTTGTGATTGCATGTTTATTTGTAATGCTTATACATGTATAGGTCAATTTGAAAAGAAATTCATTTTAATCATTACCATATATACCACCTACAAGTATTTTTATCAAAATTCTAGTTCAGTAACTTCATTTATCTTTGACACAATGCTTAATTATATTAATCTGGTAAACTAACATACTGACAGATCTTAGTAAATACAAGTGATTGGTTTATGTGGATGCAGACTTAAATTTCAACATTGTATCTGAATTGAGTGTAAAATCAGTAAATTACGGTGTTTAAAGGGCGACAGTCATTGTGTTTGAAATGGGGGGTCCATGTAGTGTGTAAATTAAATCATTTCCACAAAGTTCAACTGCTTGCTGACTGGAGTTTGTAGTTTCACTATTTGACAATTCAATCACGTTTCATCAATTGGCTCTTTACTTAATTATTCATACTCGTATGTGGTACTACGGTGGTATTTAAAAGTTGTTAAAGGGCGGTAGCCGCATCGCACAATGTCATATTCCATATTGACCCATAGCGATGTACATGTGCAATATCGTATACATTGTTTTACACAAAAACAACCATCAAATGTAAACTAAACTTTTCACAGTATGATGGTTTTCAGAGTAAATATTAAGCGATGTTATTTTCTTAATTCATTTTTAACTACAGAATAAATACTTGCGATAACATCAAATTATGTCTCAGTGTCTTTGTATAACTAGTTTAATCAACCATTATACCATGTTCGTTTCTGCGACTCATTCAAGCCTCTTGTTTAATTTCGTAAACCCATGCATTGTATTGTAGTTGCAATTCTTGCATTCACATGGATGGTGTAGACTGCCACTGTAAATCACTTTTCATGCAGATTGAAAATTGGGCCAACATTGGATTCTGTTGATCAAGGATGGGTTTAACCATCACAGAATGTAAATCCTTGGTTCAGTTAGATCTTCAATGCATATTTTATGTTCAAATTGAGCCTTCAATATTACATGATGGGAATTGAATTCTTAATGAGAAAATGACAAAGCTTTCAATGAAACGATTTTAGTTGTGTTTATGTAAATTCACAGCATTTCTCCAGTTTGCTGTGGTAGGAGATGAACATGTTTTTTTGTAACAGAACACACCACCAAATTTGGTAAAATAATTATTTTATTTGTTCAATGCAATTTTTAAAGATACATTTCCATAACTTGCAATTCTAACCTTTCAAATTTCCATGTAGTATAAAAATTATCTCATACACGTTACGTACTACATTACAAAATAATTTACAAGATTGTCTTGAAGAGAAAGGTTAATATTAAGGCACTTTAGTGGTTGAGCGAAACATCAACCGTAAAAAAAATATATATACAAGTGCAAAAACTACCTATAAAGCAAAATTATAATTTTATAGTTTTATACAGATCTCGCTGGACACAAGATGGGGCTATTTGAGACTTTTTAATTAGGGTATATGTTTGATATATGAACCTTTAACTGGGCTACTGGTATGTGGAGGGCAAGTGATGCAGCAATTTATATCAAATCATGTCGCTGGCCTAATATCATTGTAAGCCAACACATGCTATCCCAGGGCTTCCATATGCAAATGCTATTAAAACATGAATATGTCTGGTACTGCACAAAGGCGTGCACAGTACAATGTTTTTTTTGAAGCTTACAGGGCAGCAGTAATTATTGCTTGAGGTTATTATTCTTACCCCTCTGTCTCTGTCTATGTCAAGGACAAATCCAAGATTACAGAAAGCTACAAGGTTTGAAAGTTCAATGTCATAATTTCAAGGATGGGGTAACTATTTGTATCAGTAACATAACTACAGCACCATGTGGTGAGATTCTGTATGAACACTTTTTGTTCAAGGTTCAGATGCACAGGCATGAAAATGACATTGAGTGACACGAAGAAATCAAGTTTCATAAGATAGAAGTCCTTTCATTTTTACACGTTATCTCTATATCACACAGTATTCTGTGTTTAAGTAATGACTTCCAAGAAGTCAAGGTTCCACAAACACAAGTCATGTTCAGATAGTAATAGTGGACATCCTGGAAGCATAGTTTTTAAATGGGACGTACAACTTTTTCAATTAATGATTCACTGGGATGTTTCTAGTGATGTACACAATGATTACAGCTATAATTGGACATTATGCAATACCAAGAGCAGCCAGTGTGGCCCATCACCCCCTGTACTAGCACACTGGTATTTTAATCCCAGAAATCAACACTACAAGACCAAAGCTACAAAATGATTTCATCATGTGGCAAGATGTGGCATGGTATAATAAAGATTTCTAACTATTAACAGAAGGTTCGCAAGGAGACATAATACACATCCCACCAGGGTAGAATGACCATATTAAACTCATATGACAACAATAGCACTTATAAAAACTAAAGTTTTAAAAATAAATGCAACACTACAAGATATACACTGATGAGATAAGGGATGAACACAAATAGTTACATAAAAGGAACAAAATTGTTATAAATAGTAGAGCAACACTGGAGCTTCCATTAATTGTATCAAAAGTAATTTATTTATAATATGTACATTCAAATTAGGTGAAGTAACAATTTTCCAGTTTGCATACTAAACAGCGCCCTCATGCACTGAGTCTGACTAGCCTGACCCCGAATCGACCACTCAATACTGTTATCAGTTGGAAAAGTGTTATAAAGATACCCCCAGGCAACTACACATTTGGGGGGGGGGGCTTGAATTACAAATTAAAGTTCAGAAACAAAACAAAAATGTGTGAAGCATTGTCACAGATAAATAAATTGCAGGTTTAAATTAGGGATTAGATAGATAGTGTATTTGAAGTCAGCCAGATATAATGGATTGAATCAAAAGTGACACTTAATTGACCTTGCCGAGTTCATTTAAATGCAATGTTATGACTCAGGGTGTGAATTAACCTTTGACCCCAATTGGTTTATTTATATAGGTACAAAGTGTTTAGGTATTTCAGTCTTCTGCAAACTCAAACTAAGTAGTAATTCTTTTTCAAATATTGTTTCCAATAGTTCAGCTAGTCACATTCATCAATTAACATTTTTATACTGGCAGTAATAATATCCTAACATTATCTTCTGTTTCAGATGTAATGTATTGGCACTAAAGAGAGGTAGTTGCAAATGTACCACTAACATGATAGGATGATGTACATTGGGTTGATGTGATTTCTCCAAAACATGTTGCATTACTTTCACATAAATAAGGAATAAGCACATCCAAATAATGTAATAATGTGAACTGGTGTCAAGAACAATTAATAACTCTCACTCCATCAAGTATTAAGATTTGGATGCAAAGTGGAACTAAGCTGAAATCACTCAAACACTACCTCTCACCCCACCCCACCCCAAATCATAACATTGATGAGTAAAATAGAATAGAAAAATATTTGAGGTTAATATACCCAGGTCTACTGTGAACGTTAATACACGTAAATGTAAACTGCAAACTAAAGTTATAGATGTGTTCTAAGAAAATACTGACAAACATAAATAATAAATGGCTCATGAAAGCACAGGTTTTGCGGTAACCATACACACAGGTATAAAATATAATAGTAAATATGAAATAGAAAATCATAATACAAAATAGAGACCAATGATGGATACGAAGACATAATCAAATATTACACGGACATGTTTGAGCACAGGTGGGAGTCTTAGTTAACAAAGACACAGATGAAATAAATATATTAAAAAAAACATGTACAACTTCTTGTAAATAAGCTCAGCTATATGATTGTCACAAAGTATACATGTCCAAAATGTTTTGGTGTGGCCAGATTAAAGATTCAACAATTTCCAAAACTTTCTTTTTATTATAAATTAATAAACATCATATTTAATTAGTGAACAATATTTAGAAATCTATTTTTAAGCTTATTATCATTGAAACCAGCTCCAGACCAAGGAAATGTTGGAATGAATAAAAAATAATGATTATTAACCTAGAAGGGTCTGGCTGTGAGTCACAGGAAGTTGGTTGACATACCAAGGCATACATGATGTGAGACTAAATTCAGCTTCAAAGATGAAACTGTCAATACTTGGTTTTCAGCTGCCTGTTCTCTTCTTTTAGTCTCTCTATTTCAGCAACGAGGGCCTCATTTACAGAATACTTGGCCATTTCTTGTCTCATTTCATACTGTGTATTAGAAACAAAATAGATTTCAGTTTGCTACAAGTATTATGAAGGGGGGGGGGGGAAATGGAGAGAAATATTATTCTTCTGATGACACCCATCATGCCTTGCAGATAATACAGTAAAGCATTTAGTTTGAACTCCTAAAATGTTTTGCAATATCAGGATATTAAGATATTCAAGAAAACAAAATATTGTGAAGGTCACTGACACTCTTGGCTTAGAACCCTAGAAAAAATTGTACTGCACTTTTTACTTGTCTTTCACGAAATTAAAGCATTTTAAACAGTATTTCATGGGTCTAATGGGAGGATTAATCATCATCAAACATCAGCTTTGCATTATCAAATCTAAACAACAGAAGCAGTCTTCCACAACAGAATAGCAGAGTCAAAAACGTTAAATTTGATTGACCAGTGTATCTCCATAACGCCCCATGGCTATTAAAAGATGTTCAGTCAGTGTGGTGCCCTGGAACTAACAAGCAGCCTGTCGGCTGAGATAGCTGCGCTGTTAGCAATGCACATGGCAATTAAAGAACAGAAGATATCATTAGAAAATGAACAAATCTGAGAGAGGTCCACATGTAGTACCTATATGTATAATATATCAAAGCAATTGGACTTGCGGTTTTCAACAAGAAGTCGAAAATATCACTTTTTACCAAAAATTACAAAAATATTCATCAAAATTAGAGAATTAAAGATATCATCATGAAATGAACAAATCTGAGAGAGGTCCACATGTAGTACCTATATATGTAATATCAAAGCAATTGGACTTGCGGTTTTCAACAAGAAGTCGAAAATATCACTTTTTACCAAAAATTACAAAAATATTCACCGAAATTAGAGAATTAAAGATATCATTACAAAATGAACAAATCTGAGAGAGGTCCACATGTAGTACCTATATATGTAATATCAAAGCAATTGGACTTGCGGTTTTCAACAAGAGGTCGAAAATATCACTTTTTACCAAAAATTACAAAAATATTCACCAAAATAAAATTACAAAAATATTCACCAAAATTAGAGAATTAAAGATATCATTACAAAATGAACAAATCTGAGAGAGGTCCACATGTAGTACCTATATATGTAATATCAAAGCAATTGCACTTGCGGTTTTCAACAAGAAGTCGAAAATATCACTTTTTACTAAAAATGACAAAAATATTCACCAAAATTAGAGAATTGAAGATATCATCATGAAATGAACAAATCTGAGAGAGGTCTACCCAAGGTACATATACACCAAGTATCAAAGCATTCAGGCTTGTAGTTTTCAAGAAGAAGTCGAAAAAGTAAAACATTGACACGGACGACGACGGACAATCACTCATATGATAAGCTCCGCTCGACAAAGTCGACAGCGGAGCTAAAAATAGGCAAGCAACGTTGCCATGACTGCAAACTATACGTATATTTACTTACCATCTGTATCTGAAATTGTCTGATCATCTCCACTTGAAGATTAACAACATCTCTATGAAGAGACATCCTGTTTTTTAAAGAAAGCAAAACATGTTAAATATCTAATAATCAAAGCATTGCTGAAGTTACCAGAGTTGAAAGTAGTCACACTAAGCTACAGAAATCAGTTTACGATTACGATTTACCTTGCATCTTCCACAGCATCATCGATCATATTTCGAATAAACTCAACTTGGAATGGTTGTTGATGGGCCGAAGAAGCAAGTGGTGCCCCGCCCACTGCTCCCTCCCCGTCACCTGCTATGTCTGCTGAAACACTACTAGAAGAGCTTCCTGAGAGACCTCTTTGCGAGGTTGATGGCAGTGTAGTAGGTGTTTGAAGATATGGCGAACTGACTGTAGGGCTACTGATGGAGGGGAAGTGTCGTGATGCAACTCTAACTGGAGCTATTTCAGATAGTGATGCCACTGGTGGTCTTGAACCAAAACCATTATTGATATTTCGATTGGAGACAGGAACGGGTGGCTGGATTGATCCAGGCTGTAACAAAGAGTATTGGTTTGAGTCTATTAAACACAAAATGTTTTCACACTATATCTTAAACTACTCTACAGAGAACTATTCACCAAACTTTGCCATCATAGTAAATTAACTGTGTTAACTAAAACATGTACAAGATGCACAATGTTGCATACATGCTATTTATATTCTAACTGCCATACTAATAACCCAATTTGCATATGGCAACTCAAAACAATAACAAGCAGAATAAATGTTAGTGCAGTGGTTAGTAACACAATGACAACTACAGAATCATTGCTCCATCCAAAGTGAGTGATGTTCTGTTGCGGTGTAGTTGTCAGCATGTTTACATTCATGTAAGTACTGTAAAACCATTTATTTTCACTATTTTGATGTTTTGAACATATTCACTGTGTTTTAATTTCACAAATTTGTCAAGGAAACAATGGGTTTTATTGTTATTTTACATGTTCATGTAGATTTATTTTTATTGAATTTTATTCATCAGCGAAATTAAAACGCAATGAATAATTAATGCATTTACAGTATAATGAATAACAAGAGTGGATATGCATGGTGTATTGGATCACCGTAGCTCTCTAATCTGACACCAAACCACATAACACATACACTAGTGACAAACACTGGTTACTCACAGAAGGCACATGTGGATAAGGACTGGTAATAACGGGAGATGTATCTGTAATGATATGGTGCGTACTAGTAGAAGGCAACAGTCTGGATGATGGCTGCATAAAAGGGCTATCATCTCCAGAACTCAGTGGAAGACGTCTTGTTGTAGCAGGAACATTGCTTATATTGTCAGATAAAGGTGAAAATATAGATGCTGTAGAATTAGAAACATAATATCAATGATTAGCTTTTGTTGGCTAAATGAAAGATGTGACAGTGATGTTTGTGGGTGACATGATTACACTCTGAGTGAGATCTTAGTTCACCTGGACATAACCTTTCACTGGCAAGGATAAATTTTCTTCAAGGTTGCAGAGAAATTCATGTTGACCATATGGATTGATTTCAAAAACATTGTTTTTTTTCACAATGTTGCAATTACCTTTTTCAAGAATGTATTTTATCACCTACAATTTTTTGCTTGAATTATAAAAGAACAAAGAAAGACGAGGACCAAGGCTTGACAAATTCTGAACACTAATCTATGGATCCCAACAATGCAAGCACATAATTAACAAGAGTTGGCAGAGCCATCTCGATGCTGGGAAAATAAGAGTTTTAAAGTTGTGTTTTGGAGCAATGGATTGGCGAACAGACAGAAAAGCAATTTCAAAGACTTTGACTTTGTTTTAATGAAAACTTGAAGTATACATGAGGGTACGTATTATTTATTTATTTTGGAAACTCAATTTTTAAGTGAAGGAATTAAACTAAATTAAATAATCATGTTAGAAATGACTACTGTTCAACTCCGAACTAGTCGTTTAATTGTACTTAGCGTATGTTGCTATGGCAATCAATCAATTTGAGAAAAACAGTCGACAATGACTAAATGCATGGTCACAGCCAAATCGCTGTTTAATTGAAACAAGTCATTGTCAATGACACGTCCCTGTTCCGTTCATATTTGAGTGACATATACATTCAAAGCAGATCATGACCGAAATGCACCTGCATATGTACAACACAATCTGAACAAAATCCATCCATGCATGACTGAGATCTGGTTCCGGAATTGTGAAAATACGTGATTTTAATGCATTTTCGGTCTTAAAATGGCCATCATTCAGCTATTGTTAAGCGGATCATGAAACAAATGCACATATCTATTTGTGACATGATGCACCATGTGTGTGTGAAGTTTGAACTTGATCAATCCAGACATGTCTTGGATACGGATCCAGAACTGAATTCTTTAAGAAAATGGCCGCCAGTCGGCCATTTAGACTTGATCCGGAAAAAACAAGTCATTGTCAATGACACGTCCCCGTTCCGTTCATATTTGAGTAACATATACATTCAAAGCAGATCATGACCGAAAT